TCTTTCTTTCTTTCTTTCTTTCTTTCTTTCTTTCTTTCTTTCTTTCTTTCTAAAGACTATAGCCTTTTTATTTTCTCTCCCAAGCCTACATATATTTTTAAACACACTGTAAATGGCTTAGAGTTTTTTTTTTTTTGTCTGAATCTATCTTTACGGTATATCTCTCTTTTTCTGATCACATGAGTCTTTAATTTGCTAAGCGATATGGCTAGGATTAAAGTTGTGACTTTGATGACTGGATCCACCCCATTTTTTGGATTTTTGAGAGTCTAGCTTCATGATGGAGATACTGGCAGGAACCATGTCTATTGCCACAACTCTATGGATTTTCAAGGTCCCTGTCACCACCAAGAAGCATGCTGTCAGAGCTCTTCATAAACCCACTTATGTGTTTGGTGGTAGGGCCTCTTAAAAGAACTGCAAGGTTTTTGAAGCTAAAGGTGAATCAGGAAGCCTCACTTAAATGAGACACACTTGCCTCCAGTAAATAGAGCCCACCTGAGAAAATGCTGCTAAGAAGAAGCCATGCTTAACTCTGTTCTTCTGTGTCTAGAATGACTTCCTAAGCTTTCTCAGGTTTTATGTAGATGTAGTTGTCTATGTTGGCACCATTTGTTGACAGAGGTTTTCTGTTGCGCCTGGTTCCACAGCCATTCAGTCCCAAAGAAACACACAGAGGTCTACATTATTTAGAAACTGGTTGGTCTAATAGTTCATGCTTTCTTATTAATTAACTCTTAGATCTTACATTAACTCATAATTATTGTCTCTGTTAGCCATGTGGCTTGGTACCTTTTATCAGTGAGGCATTTCATCTTGCTTCCTCTGTGTCTGGGTTACAACTGTAGACTGAGCCTTTCCTCTTCCCAGAAATCTCCTGTTCTGGTAGGCCTGCCTATACTTCCTGCCTGGCTACTGACCTATCAGTGTTTTATTAAACTAATACAAGTGACAAATCAATACAGGTACATGTCCATTGTCCTACAGTAGTTGTTTTTTAATAATAAAGTTTCTAAATATATATCCATAAATGAAACTTTAATGAGATAAATTCATAAGCAGTTGTATTTCCAAAATGCATAGACATCTAGCCAAAGACCAGATATACACAATTAACACAACTTGGGCCATGAAACTTGGTTTTGTACCTTGAATCTTTCATCTTTTAGAAATGGCTTATTTTCTAGAGTCAATAGCCACACATGACTTTTGCATCGCGTACAGGAAGTCATTTGAAGATAACAAGATTGTTTTCCTGGCTGTATCACCTAGACAAACACAGGCTGGGACAATGCCTATTGCTACATGTAGAGCGTGTTTACATTTTTCTGTTCTTACCAGGCAAATATCTGTAAATACGGGCACAGATCCCAAACTTAAGTTTCCATTCTAAATTTGAGACAGAGAGAAAACGTTGTGTAACACAGTTCTTGGGGAGACTCACCCCAGATAGGAAACCAATGGCAGATTAAAGTAAAGGTACAACTGATGTTCGACTTGATGAGCCAAGGAGTTTAATTGGTGTTATTTACAAGAATGTGGGTCGTTAGACTCACTGCTATAGAAATGTCTTAGAGGCTGCGTCACCGAAAGCCTGCCACAGCATGGGTGGCACTCACACTAGTTGGAAACACTGTCCAGCCTGCAGCAGCTCAGCAGGCTGGCTCAGAGAGGGCCTTTTTCTATGTCTCTGATTTGGTCTCAGTCTCTTCTGGGCAATTCAGCTGATCTCTTCTCCCAGGTTTTTGGCTGAACTCTTTCTTCAACGAACGTCGCTTGGCTGAGCTGCCTTTCGTCGGCAGTTCCACTTGTCCAAGAGTCTTCTAGGCAGCTGACGGTTCTGTCTCTTCCCGGTGCTGCCCAGTCCTTCCTGCCTAGAGCTGCTGTTCAGTTTCAGAGACTTCCTCAGGCCTCTAAGTTGTTTACTTTATGAGCTTAATGGGAGCAGGAGGTTTTCCTCTGAGGAAGCTGCTGCAAAACATACAGAGATGTGTTGTTGGATATGTGATTGCACTGATACTCAAGACCATTAATAGAGTTAACCTTGAATTAGGCGCTGGAGTCAGCTACTATTCAACTAGAATTAGCCATAGAAAAGCGTGATAGACAGGCACAGGAAAGAGTGGGAGGGGCTTAGAAAGATTCGTGGCCTTTTTGGTCTCGAAAATGTGGAGAAGTTTACTGGTCCTGCCTCCACTCCTTTCTTGATCAGGGTTTTATCCCAATATCTGCTTTTATTAATAACATGGCAATTTAGGAAAATGGTTCAGAGATAATACAGTTTTTAATAGATCTCAGTTTTGTTTTTGTACTGGGAATTCTTTTAGTAGTGTCTTAAGTGACAAAAGATATTTATCTTGTTCTAATTAATATGTGGAGAGTGTCATTGCTTCACAGTGATTAATAAATAAATAAATTATCAAAATGTATGGCAGCAACTTTTTGTTAAACATATCAAGGAGAATCTTGAAAAGAAGCTCTCTGTAAAAATGGATTGAGTGATTAGGACCGCTGTGATGTGAAGAGGTTGGAGGCCTCATCTCTAGCTAGCTTTCGCTCCCTGAGTACCCATTCCTTGCTCACCTCTGTGCTGGAAGTAATAGCCCGTGACTCACAGATGAAAAGCAGTTAGCAACTGTTAACTTAGAAGGACACGTACTTCCCTCAGCCCCAAAGCTAAGCAGTCCTCAGAGAGTGCGCATGGCTGATAGAACTTTCTCTAGCTTGCTGTAACCACCTCTGTGATGTTTCCACCAATGCGTTTGAAAGTGTCTAGATTTATTACACTTTCTGTTTTGTTACTATAAAACTTCAGGAGATTGCATCCACATTGGAACACGAAATTTAGAGGAACCTAAATTGGTATTTACAGGGTATGTTCACTTGAATTTGGCTCCAGAATAAATGATCTCTTATTCCTGTTGAGATGAGCTGTGTTATTGTTCATTGATAAACATTTGTGGCAATTCTTATTAAACTGTAATTTTTTAAAAGTTGAATTAAACACTTTTTAAAATCCAATCACATTTGTAT